ACGGGTATAACGTAGTCAACAAAAGACAATGGACCCCTACTTTGGTAAGTAGTAACTGGGGCCTTAAAAGCTCAGAAGCCGTCATCTGGGGTGCAGCTATGCATTTCTCCCTGTCCAGAGGAAAAAAGAAACATGAAAACCAAGACACATGGAAACAAGTAGTGTAACTGACTAAAGGAGCAAGTAAACACCAGTCTCCTCCACTCTGAGATCATAGCTAAACGGTGCCTGGCTACCGTTACCAACTGAACCGTGTTTTAGTGTTAAGTGTTATGGAATTGGTACCAGCTCATAGTGACCCTATGTACAACAGAACTAAACGCTGCCCAGGTCTGCACAATCCTCGTTACAATACTATGTCAATCCATCCCACTGAGGGTCTTCCTCTTTTTTGCTGGCTCTGTATTTAACCAGGTCAGAAATCATTTTCCAGGGGCTGGTCTCTCCTGCTAACATGCCCAAAGTCCGTGGGACAAAGTGTCCCAATTCTCCACTCTAAGGATCATTCTGGCAATACTTTCTCCAAGACGGATTTCTTTGTTCATAGAGTAGTGCACAATGCAGAAAAATACTAAACATTATCAAGCTGACCAAGCTTATTGATCAGCTAGGGATTGATAGAACCCTTGAGACTACAGCAGTTAGGCACTCTTTAGGTCTGGAACTGCACTTAGCCAAAGGGCTCAATTTTCAGCCAAATAATAGGTTTCTAAAGGGAAGAACACTAGGGGTGTGCACATATCTTAGAAAAATGACCCCTTGAGATCAAAAGGCAGCATTTACTCAAGGATAAAGTCCAGAACTGTCAGGGGAGAGGGTGGAATGGAAATAGAGCCCACAGGGAGGAAGCGGGATAAGTGGTGATTCATTGTGGGACGGCAATGGATAAGATGAAACTACATGCTTATCAATTGTCGAATGATGAACTTAGCACTCCATTCACAAGAAAACGTTAATTTTTAAAAATAGATTCAATCTAGGCAAATCATTTTCAACCATTTTGTTGTTAGAGTACCCTTAGACAAATATATGGAAATGCTTAAGGTACTTTAAATCAAACCAAATCCACTGCCACTGAATGCATTCTGACTCAAGGGGACCCTAGGTAGGGTTTGGGGAACTGTACATCTTTCATCAGACAGTCTCATTGTTCTCTTTCAGAGCAGCGGTGAGTTTGAACTGCTGACTCTGCAGTTAGCACCTCAACATCTAAAGCACAGCACTACCAGGGCTCCTTTAAGGTATAGTAAACTCAAACCAAGCCCACTCACTACCTGCAGATCAATTATGACTCAGAACAACTCCATAGAAGGTATAAACCCACTGTCATTGAGTCAATGTCAATTCTTAGCAACCATATAGGACAAGGTGGAAGTGCTACAATTGGTTGTCTCTATGGGAGTAGAAAGCTCTGTATTTCTCCTGTAGAGCTGCTGGTGGTTTCAAACTGCGGACCTTTCAGATCACAGTCCAACCCATAACCACTACATCACAGGGTGTACTCCAAATGAAACACCAAATTCATTGCCATCAAGTCGATTCTGACTTATAGCAACCCTATAGGGCAGGCTGGAACTGTCTCTGTGAGTTTCTGAGCCTGTAACTCTTTATGAGAGTAGAAAGCTTCATCTTTCTTCTGTGGAGCAGCTGGTAGCTTTGAACAGCTAATCTTACAGTTAGCTCAACCCACAGCCCACTATGCCATGATGCTTCTTATAGAGGTACTAGCAATAAAAACATATATAAATAAAATACTGGTATCGTTTGCTATAGATCATATAACAGTTGCTGTTGAAGATGTGAGAAAACATACTGACTCAATGCCTGTGAGTTTGAATACATGCATGATATTTAGTACATGTAGGACCACCAGAAGAAGGAACAAATCTGTGTTGGAGAGATATAGACAGAATGCCCCATCGAAGTGAGGATAGTGAGACTTCATTTTATGTACTTTGGACATGTTATCAGGAGGAGTCAGTTCCTGGAGAAGAACACAGTGTTAGTCTGGGTAGACTAGAGAAACAAATCCACAGAAACACAGATGTATATGTATATAAGAGAGAGTTTTATATAAAGGGTAAGTGTACATTAAAAAATCATCCCAACCCAATGCTGTCCAAGCCCATAAATCCAACATTAGCTCCTATGTCCAACACCAATCTACAAAGTCCTCCTCTCTCACAAAACACATGTAATGATGCTGACTGCAGGAGGGAAGCTGAATCAGTGAACATGTAAGCATTTCAGTGGTGGCACGGATCTCCACATGGCTGCTCCAGCACCCAGGGCTGCACCGGAGGAGGTCCATGTGGCTTCTCCCCAGGGATTTCTCACAGAAAGTGAGCCTCGCCAGCTGAGGCAGAGAACTGGCTAAGGCAGCTTCACCCTGGTCCAACCAACAGAGAGCAAGACACCCAAGAGCTAGAAAGGCGAGGCTGACCAAGCCATTTATCTCTTCGCCCTTCAATTAACCCCATATGTGTTTATCGGCCAGGTTGGCACAATAAACCTTAACTATCTCAAACATCATGTATGACAAGGCAGGAGTTAGTGAAAGAAAGAAAGACCCTTAACAAGATGGATTGACACGCTGGCTGCAGCAGTGGGCTTAGTCATAGCAGCAAGAGCAGGTAGTGTTTTGTTCTATTGTTCATAGGACCTATAAGAGTCAGAAATGACTTGACAAGACTTAACAAAAACAATGACAAAAGTTAAAAGGTACAACAATATGACAATATCTATAAACTATTCTTTTTTTAAATCATTGTATTGGGGCTCTTACAACTCATCACAATCCATACCTACATCCATTGTGTCGAGCACATTTGTACATATGTTGCCATCATCATTTTCAAAACATTTTCTTTCT